TTCCGAAACATGCGTGTGTCATGCACCTTTCTGGACCAGCCTGCATTAATGTCCACAAATGCCTGGAGAACCATGGAGAAATAGCCCTTCTGGTTCCTGTACAAAGGACTGGAAAGTGCGTGCCATCTATCACCTCGGGATGCTAAATATCTATTAATTGAACAGTCAAATATCCTCATGAATTCTTATCGGTTAGTAGGCTATTCTACAGTCCCTGGGGGCGGGGCCAGCAAACAGTGCGCTTTGGCCTCATTCCCAAGGACCCCCTGCTACTCCGCAAAGTACAGGGTGCCAGGAGGGAGCTGGTCCACGAGGGGAGCCCGTTTAAAAACCAGCTCCCCTCATGGAACGGCTGCCTGTCACCCTGTGCTGCTGCCTCTGATACAGAAGCAGCAGCCCTGGTCTCGCAGACCTGGTGCAAGCCGGAACTGAACCAAGCTGCCTGCCCACCCAATTCCTAATACACTTCAAATGCAGAACCACAGCAGGGGTAAATCCCAGACCCGCCACAAGCCAGGGCTGAGTGGGGCTGCTGGCAAGGATGGAAATGCGTGTAGTCTATAACATTGACTTATAAGCATTTGCTTTTTGATTGATTGACTAGTCCAGGGGTGGGCAATTTTTGATGCTCCCAAGATTTTGGGAAGTGGTCGAGGGCTGCACTCTTCCATGATATTAATGGAGGATGAGCGGAATCTGGGAGGGAGGTTGGGTGCAGAAGGAAGCTTGGGGAAAGGGATTGGGGTGCAGGAGGGAAAATGGGGTCTGGGAGGGAGTTTGGGTGAAGGAGATAGTTGTGACCTATGACAGGAAACTGGAGTGCAGGGTTTTGGAGTGTGACCTAGGATAGGAAAGGATTGGGGTGCCAGATCTGGGAGGGGGTTTGGGTGCATGTGGAGTAGGGGGGCAGGAGTGTGGGGCAGAGGGATGGGGAAGGGAGGGGCTGAGGTGCCAGAGGCAGGTTCTCACCAGGAGACTTACCAGCCTGCCTGCCGAGCTAAAGGCTTGCAGAGCTTAAAATGTTTCTGCCTGCTCGGCCATGTGCCTGAGTGAATGAGCAGGAGGGTTGTGCTTTGTGGCTGCCTGTTATTCAAACAGGCAGCTCCCATTGGCCAGTGTCCGTCCAGAAATCGGCCAATAGGAGCAGGAGCAGCCCCTGACTCAAAGAGAAAGTGCCCCACAGCCGCATTTCTGAGCAGTGTGGGGGACTGTGGGCCAAGCAGGGGAGCCTGCCTGGGGCTCCCCACTGCCTCTGTGGGCCAGATCCGGCCCAGGAGCCATATTTTGCACAGGCCTGGACTAAACTATTACATTCCTACTATCACCCCACCACAGAGAAGCACAACCGTGCTAAGCCATCCACAATTTCACACACACTGCCCAGAATAATCATCACTAGTCCGACGATCGGCTTTCCCACTCCAAACTGATTGGCTATTCCAGACAGCTACTGTTTGGCCGCCAGGCGCTTCTCCACTGGCAGAGTGGCTCTCATGCGCGTCCTTGTGCCACAGGGTGGAGGTGAGCTCAAAATACAGTCCCATGAAAATGGCTTTCCTCATCCGAAAGCTCTGCAGCCGCTGCTCATCCTCCCAAGCTTACAGGCTGATGTGATCCTGCCGTTCACTGCTCCTTTCCCAAGTCTGAAAGCAGCTTTCCACTGCGGTCAGCGCCTCCGTGCATGCTACAAGACATCATGTGGGGGTACGTACGATGCATGGCAAGCTCAGTCTCTGACACTTCTTCCCCACTCTACTGACAGCGTTTTACAAAGTGTAAACAAAGCCTAAGATGCTTTCAAAGCACAGGTGAGAGTGAAAGGAAAAGCATGGGCGAGTTAACAAGTTAAGAGATTGTCCTTCCAGGCAATATGGTGTCACAGGCTGCTCTGAATCCCCCAAATTCATTGAGGGTGGTTCTCATGCAGAAGGAACATTTTATAAAGCAGCATAAGACAAGTGGAAGGTGAGTTTACAATGACAGCATCTGGCTAAACACCTGATTGCTATTGCAGCACTGACAGGAAAACACTATGTTACATTGGGCTACGGAATAGAGAGGGCTGAAAACTCAGTCTGGTTATTCAATAGCAGTTTGATAGCCAGCTATAAACATGGACTATAAATCTTTGCAGCTGCCCAGTTCTGAGCAGCTAAACATGAAACGAGGCCATAAATACTCTAAAAAAGGTACTTTCCCCCTATAAAAGTCTATGATATAGCAGCACTCGGTAAGGCCACCTTCTCCCTGAGCTGTAGCAATTTAAAAAAAAATCTAAACTGCCCAGCTTTAAAGCAGAAGCTAGTATATTAACAGGTGCCTCAAGCTACAGGATTCAAAGAGCTGGGTGTCACTGTAACAGTTCTTTGGCACCTTAGAGACTAACAAATATATTAGATCACGAGCGTTCATGGGGAAAATCCACTTCATCAGATGAGTTGGAGTGGAAGTTACAGAATCCAGGGTATCCACAACAGCAAAACCAGTTATATGTCAATTGTAGCACCAGGGTTAATGATGCTAACGGAAGCATTTATACATCAATAGCTATGAATGGGACACATCCAGCCTGACTTAATTAGCATTAACCCTGGTCCCACATTTGACAGGTAACTGCTTTTGCTGTTATACATACTCTGGATTCTGTCGTTTCCACTCCAACTTAAATGAAGCGGGTTTTACCTACGAAAGCTCACAATATATGTTAGTCTCTAAGTTGCCACAGGACTGCTCATTGTTACAGTTCTTGTTAGCTATATTGCAGTAGCATCTATGGACCAGTTAGGGATCAAGGCCGTCTTACGCTAGCGGCTGTATAAACAGGGAACATGCAACTATTACAATGAGAAGTGCAACATGTTATTACTGTGATACACATAAGTACCCATTAGATAACCCCTTAATTCCTAAAATTCATCAAAATGGAAGGCCTTTTTTATTTTAAATGTGGGTAAACGAATTCTAGCAGGAAGGAGTAAATGAAACCAGGGTCTAGATTCAGAGACTATGCGCCCCTCAATCCATTTTTGTGGAATTCTTTAAGAGGGCAGGAACCCATGGAAAACGTTTAGCACCTCAGGGGCTGAACTACATTTCAGGTGCCAGGCACCCTTTCATCAAAATGGAAGGCCTTTTTTATTTTAAATGTGGGTAAACGAATTCTAGCAGGAAGGAGTAAATGAAACCAGGGTCTAGATTCAGAGACTATGCGCCCCTCAATCCATTTTTGTGGAATTCTTTAAGAGGGCAGGAACCCATGGAAAACGTTTAGCACCTCAGGGGCTGAACTACATTTCAGGTGCCAGGCACCCTTCACAAGAGCTGTAAAGCTGGCCCATGTCTCCTCCCACCCAAAGCCTGAAAGACTGGAGCAATGACCATCCAGAGCAGTGTTTCTCAATCTTTTCTTACAAAGTACGAAAAAAAAAAAAAAAAAAAGCAGCTACAAGTATCCCCAGTACCTACAGTGTTCAGACAAAAAAGTTTTTTTTACCATTGCAACACATTTGTTTAAACAACTTAATCATAGCCAGGCGGACGATGAAATTTTTGGGTGTAAAAAGTACAAAAATAATAAAACGCTGTAAAACTTAAAACAAAAATTCAGTCTCTCCAAATTTCAGTTGCATTGACTTACCCGCCCCCAGACTTCTCTCGAGTACCCCTAAGGGTACTCATAGGCTTTAAGGTCAGAAGGGACCATTATGATCATCTAGTCTGACCCCCTGCACAGTGCAGGCCACAGAATCTCACCCACCCCCTCCTAGAATAATCCTCTCACCTGTCTCGTACCACTGCGTGAGAAACACTGACCCAGAGCACTGTTTCCAGGAGCTGAAAGGAGTTCTGAAGATGGCCTGTATTTGCTCCTTTCTCTCTGATCCTCAGCTGGTGACGGCACTGACATGTTGGGGAGGGTTCCAAGCTTGGTCGGTGCATTTCCTTCCCTTCCCCTACACATGGTGACAGTATAGACTGCGTCTTTAGCAGAGACCAGGAAAAAAGAGGGAGTGTTAACCCCAGAAACCAGGCAGCCCATGAATGCTGCAGGAGCTTCTGGGGGGCAGTGCATTTTTGAGTGACTCAGCCTTCAAAATGCTAAAGCCACTCAGTTGTGCGCCAAGTTTTTATTTCTCTTCACATTTGGAAAGGGGAAGCCTTTCCTAAGGCAGGAAATAGTCTCCTCTCAGCTGCACAGGTTTCAATCATTAGTCTTCATAGGAAACTACCAAATTCTCCAGACATCCAGGGAAGACTCCAGAGAGCTTGAATTATTGGCTAAGTCCAAGCACAAGAACAGCCGTGATGCGCTTGGAAACTGAAGGACTCAACGGCGCAGCAGGTTTTTCCCCCCATTGCTACCTTCTATGCCCTAGATCTGCCCCCAAATTCAAACCCCGGACATGAAGGTGGTTGGTGTAGGAGGCATGCAAACTGTAATCATTGGTGGCCATGTCTGCCAATCAGGTTCTGTAGCATGCAGTCACAGAGTTATGCATGCAAGGCCAGCATCAGGCTCTGGCAAATCTTTCGTTTGGCCTTCAATGCCCATATTGGACTAGGTACTGTAAACTAGGATGGTGCCACTGAGGCAGGGCCACTGTGCCAGCTGATAACAGCTGTGGCTCTGAGCCATGTTATTTAACGAGACTAATGATGCCTTACCTTGTGCTGCAGCACCAACTGGTGGTTAGTGAGGGGTGTTAACCACACAGAATCCATCAGCACAGGAGAGCTGATGTCATTCCCTCTTGTGGACCAATGGGAAACTGTTTGTAGTTTATCCAATCACGTGCCAACCCTCCTATTTACATTGATTTACCTACTCACCGATGAAGATAAGAAAATCACTCGTATTTAAAGCACTCACATGCTTTACATCACACTCATTCTCCCGGGTGGAATAGGAGCATGGGGATTTAATTGTCCTCTTAAATAAACTCCACTAAATCAAGAACAGAGACCGTTTAAAATAGAGAAAAAAACCACATTTAGTTCGATTTATTTAGCAGCATCTTTATTGCAACAGAAAGGATTTGTAATAAAAGGCAGCAAAGCTAACGCTTCCACTTTACATGATTAAAAAGCCATTTAGCTAGAAATGGAGGGAAACCCATAAACCTACCGGGGTGCGACATGCAATTTTGTGAATACAAGTCAATGCTTGAAGAGCAGGCACTTCATGTTCTAAAATTAAAACACCCAAACTTCTACTGTGCAGAACATCCAAGTAAAAGCCACCCGCTCTGTCCTTTCAGAAGGATGGCCCAAAGCACCCCCCAGGATACAGTACTTGTATTTACAGGGGTCTGGTACTCAAGTAAACAGGCAATTCAAGGCAGTGTTCTAATCTGGCTGATTTCCCCTCCTCCCACTCCCATTGTTATTGCCTTCTCAATATTCAGTGTCATGCCAGCAGCAAAACACACTGCGCTACTCATGGAACACACAGATCAGAAAGAAACACGATCAATTATTTTACTATTATAGGTTAAGTGTCAGGACTCTGTTTTGTCAGTTAATAGCACACCTGGATTCTTTGCTGGATACAGCAAACTACACACACACACACACACACACACACACACTTACTTCTATATCTTCAATGTGTCAAGCCCATCTGGAAAGTCTATGCTAACCCTATTCCCAAATGCCCCTATTAGTAAGCAATACATTTTCCATTTTAGTATAATTAATTGATTTTCAAAGCTTCACATGCTGATCAGAATTACTGTGACTAAATATTTGGTAGTAAACGGAGTTTATCAAAATGGAGGAGTTCTCTAGGTAATTAGTTATACATTAATTCAAATTATGTATTTGGAAATATGGTAAACAATGCAAATTACTTATCCCAATCTAAAATGTTCCCTGCCTCACCTTGTTTTTTTATTAAAAGAAAGATTCCTTAAGTAATGGAAACCATCTCAAAACATTAAACCATAGAATCTATCCCTATTGAAGCAAACAGACAATTCCAAACAATGAAAACATTGAAGAAAATATATGTACATTGGCATCCCTATCATCAGTAGGCCCTCACTCTTCAAAATCCAGCCTTCAATATATTCTCTATCATTTTCCAGCAGAAGTTACACATGTAGTCACAGGATTTAGAGGTAAGACAGACACACCCCTGCACTCATAGGAAAGAGATTTTACATTCAATATGCACTTAGGGCCCCATCGCACTACCATATACCACTTGTGTAATGGTTATTGCTGGGAGTAACCCCGCTGAGCTCAAGAGGTACGTCTACACAAGGATAAAAACCTGTGGCTGATCTGGAACATCTGATTTGGGCTCAAGCTCATAGCGCTAAAATTCTGTGTAGACATTTGGGCTCAGGCCGGAACTCAAGTCTGGGACTCTGGACCCTGAACACCTCTACAGCCATTGCTCAGCCACAGAGCCCTAGTCCCATGAGCCAGAGACAGCTGTGGGGTTTCTCTCTCTGCATAGACATATCCTCCAACATTCCCAGCGCTGGATTTCTTTTGTGGTGCAAGGTGGTGGCCTACCTCCTCCATGGAAGAGCTGGTTCTCATACTTTCTGCCTGAGAAGTCCACTAGCTCTGCTTAAAATGTGAAGTAACATTATTACAGCGTTGCAATTTTTAAAAGAAGTTCATAATCAAAAGCAAAATCCAAACGTGAAACTTCATGGGGAATTCTACTTGGGTGAAAGTGCTATCTTCTCAATACAGAGATTTTCGAGTAGGCAAGTCTGATGGGCCAAACGGCAGCAATACCATCATACACAGTACTCTTAGACGGATACTGTAGTACAGGAAGACTGGCTTACAGCTGGAAAAAGGCACAGAACTGCTGAGCTTAGCTGTGGCAGTGTGGCTTGTCCTACCAACACCATCAGGATCTAGTCACCAGTGTCTCTAGAGTTAATGACATACTCTGGATGCCACAAAGCTGTGCTCATTCCCTGTGGAATTGATTGTACCCCTATTAATCTACCGGGGTTTGGTCATTAACTTCAAAAGAGGCTGGATCAGACCCTATAGGATATGCCTTTCATTACTACTACATATGGTAACCATCCTTTGTACAGAACTATGAAATACGGATAGCAAATCCTTCCAGCATTTTCACAAGAATATATGGAGTTTTAAAGTGACCAACAGCTGTAAAGGAAACTATTTTTTTCAGAAAAAAATACATAATTATGTTGCAAAATAGGGTACATATCATACCTGATACTTTAATAGCTTTCTGATATATATGATATTTAAAAGAGAGAATGCATTATTCAAAAAGCTACATGTAAGCAGTTTTATGATGTTCGTTACTAAACCAAAATCTAGACTTGATTACCAAAATTGCATTTAATTCCTCCTTTGCTGTAAGCACTGTTCCATAGAGGTCGTTTTGTACAAAAGGGTTAATTTTCACGTGAGAATCATATACATTTATATTCAAGAGATCATCTCTGGAAAAGGGACAAAAATACACCCCGAAACGCCAGTTAAGTTAACATTGAACATAATATAAACAACCTTGAAAATGTGATAACATCCACGTGTTAGTTTATACATATACGTTTATATGGTCAGATACAGAGCACATCAACACAGCAACAAAAGAACTCTCTGTGCACGTCTCAGAGTCCAAAACCTGACTGTCCACACTGCTATTTTTAGCCTGCAGTGCACCTGGGCTCTTAGACTTGCTGCCCTGTGTTTTCTTTTGCTGTGTAGGCATACCCATAGCTATATGCATCTATACTACAACATAAACACGTAAAGAACCAGGTGGGATACCATAATATAAAAACTACACATTTGTTACTCATTGGCGCATTATTCTTCTTCAAACCTATCAATGTACCAGCCTGTCTGTGCTTACTAGATTATGTCACAGAACTGCGGAAAACTCAGGCTTTTTCGGAAGGGAATTCATGTTAGTTACAATAATTAGCTATTGTTGGTACAGAGAAGTCAGTGCAGGTGTTGAGCTCCTTACAGTTTTCCCAAAATCAAAACCTATAAACCTATTTCTGTATGCTTACAGGACTTTAAATAGCATCTGTACAATTCAGAACAATTGTGTGAGAGCTGGAAAAAAAATGGCTTACACGACATGTGTTTGCTTTGAAAACCATTAACATAATACAATGGAGCTGGTTTATGTAGGTTTTATAAATCCAGGTGTTTCCACTGACTCCAGGGGAGTTATTCCCAATTAATACCAGTGTCACTACCATCAAGGTCAGGGCCTATTGTGTTAAATGTTCAAGTTGTAGGGTCTATTGATCATTCATACACCTACAAAAGTTACTCACGTACATTCCTATAAAATCTGGGGTATTTCACGTATAAACACAAGCCACAGGGTGTCCCGATTTCAGAAGAGAATCATGCTCTGCTTCTCTCTTATAGCATCAAAATAGAAGGGAAAAAGTTCTTGGCTTTTTTTAAAAGAACGAAGCTGAAAATTATAGGAAGTTAACACAGGCACCCAAGCAGAATTTTCAGGTTTAAAAGTAACAATTTTACTGTGGTGTTCTATTTTAAACAACATTTTGAAAGTTAAAAGTAGTTCCAAACATGTTTTTCAGCCAAGACTGCATCACAGTTAAAACCACACCAGGAAAGAAAATCATGCTTTAGTGTGATTTTATATCGCAGGGTGCTAGCTTCTAGAAGCGTTACCTGAAGCAACACAGACAGGGGTTTCTCCCAGGGGACAGCCTATAACCATGCTACACCACAGTGCTAGAGATGACCCTTGGGTGATAGATTCCTATATATTTATGGGAGCAGGTTGACTCGGACAAGCTTTCTCAACAGTGATCTGAGAATAATGTTAGAATAATGACAACACAAAATTTAATAAAACACAATTTGCATTGCTTCAATGTAGTGTTGACAGGCCACCAACTCCCCACTTGGGTGTTGGAATTTTAAAATCTTAGTGGAAGAATATTTAGATACCCACCTGCTGAGATAGGGTCATATTTTGAAAACAGCCCCAAAATGCACATTGAGAGAAAGTCCATGGAAATACACTGATTTTTAAAATATGAGACATATACAAAGTTTCAGTTGTTTGGCTTAAAACTAGTTAGCTTCTCAGCATAAAGGCTAACTGTAAAATACATCTCATGTACCAGTGGGAAATGAGGTACAACCAGTTTAACACAATACAAAAGAAAAAAGCAGCAAGATACACAGAGATGAGCTCACTGGAAAATTGGTCTGATTGGCATTAAAACCAAATTATAAACTTCTTCAGAAGGCAGCTAAAAGTGTTTCTTTTTAAAAATAATTATCCCCAGCATCTGATTATATGTGTGTCTAATGTGCAACTAATTCCTCGTGAGCCAGACATCCTTTGCACGTGGCATAAACTAGGCATTACATTATGAAATGCTATCAAAGTTGTAACCATTCAGATTTTTGCCAGGATGTGAGCACATCATCCAATATTACCTTGTTGTAAGAAACTGAGAAACACGCTGTAAAAAAAATACACCAATTAGACTCACACAGGTCAGTGTTTTCAGATGGTAAAGATACAGTGTTGTGGAAATGTGTTACTGAATTTTCAGCTTCTTCCCAAAGCGTATGCCTGGTGGTGCTGCGTACCACAGACGCTTGATATTGTTTCCGTTTTAAAATGATTAGGCCATTATCCTGTAGATTCCTTGTATGGCACCTAGGTTACTTAAAAAAAAGTCAGTGTGTGCGCGTGCATATGTAGCAGGCACCAAAACGCAGTGTTCTGTTCTATTCTCTCTAAAGACCAGTTTCCTCGTTTGGTTAAGCAGCTAGTGTCAGAGTTCCACAGAGGTCACAAATTACATGGCCTTCAGCGCAGCAATATGAGAGCCAAGATTCTCTTGCAGATAATGCAGCAGATGGAGTTCATAATGCTCTCCGGATTCAGGGACCCTTATACTGTGTCTCTCCTGCGGGTAAATCTAAAAGGCAAAATAAAGAGTCGTGAACACACACAACTGGCACTCAGCCACACAGAAACCAGCAACCTGGCACAGGTTAATGACAGGCACGTGGCTGCGTGAGAGATTAGAGAAGAATATTTGATAGTGAGCAGGGATTCCCAGCCCCTCCCACATCCTGGCCTCCATGTTAAAATAGGGAAAAGAGAGAGAGAGAGAGAGAGAGAGCGAGAGAGAGATTGATTTAGCATGCCTCTCCCAAGTAGCAATAAAGAAAGGGAGGGTGGATGCACCCGGGGATCTAGAGAACCCCATTTGCAGGGAAAGTATAGTAAGATGCTGGAGCAATACGTGACTTGAACAGTAAAAAATACCAAATATAAATTTCCCCATCTCTCCAATGGAAGGGAGAGGGGAAGAGAGGGAAAAGCTAGAAGCTGGTTACTGCTAACTATGGGCCTGGACAGCCACTGCTAAGAGCAGGGCAGCAGACTGATTGGAAAAACCTGATATAGGGCAGGGATGTAACAGAATAACAGTTAACTGACAAGCATGAGCTTAATGATTACTCACTGGCTCCCAGCCCTGTTCCTGGGAAGCCAGCTACCACTGCCACGGTGTGACAGCCAGCTCCCTGGAAGTGGGAGGAAGCCAGCTGCCATCCCGTACGGCTGCCTCTGTATCAGAGGCAGCACTGCAGGGCAGCATCCCGTTCCCCAGGAGCAGGGCTTCAGGAAGGAGCCAGTGCGCACCATGAGCCAGCTTAAAAGGCAGCTCCCGGTGCACACCAGTTCCCACTCTGCACGGCTGCCTCTCTATCAGCCGCTTGGGGCAGCAGCCAGCTCCCCGGGAGCAGAGCCGGCAGGCAGAAGCCAGTACATGCTGGGAGCCAGCTTAAAAGCTGGCTTCCGGCTCACACCAGCTCCCAGGGAGCTGGCTGCTGCCCTGCACTGAGGGCTCTGCAAGATAAAGCTTATTAAGCAGAGCCTGCAACACAGCTGACTCCCTGGGAGTGGGGTCGGGAATCAACTCCCAGCACACACTGGCTGCCAGCCCTCCTCCTGGGGAGCAGGCTGCGCTGTGGGCTCTGTAGTATAAGCACCATACTGCAGAGCCCGCAGCATGTAACCAACTAAGATCTTTAGCAGTTACATGGTTACTTAATCGCTTTTTAACATCCCTTGTACAGAGACCGAAAGCCCAAAATTCCAACATTCAAAGAAGAAACTTTCCTTTTACAATATTCTTGTCTTTTGCACAGAACTTGGTCGGAAGAAACCGGCAACTACTTCCTTCGTCTTCTAAATCCAAAGCAAGCATAAGATAAACAGGTCCAAATGGGTAAAACCTAATGTTAACTCACTTCACTGCCTATCCTAATTTTTAGTTGGATGAGGAAAAACATTGGTTTTAGAATAGTTTCTAATCCCCCCAGCTTGTCATTAGATGTTTATTATCCACTACAGATCAAATACACGCCACGTATTCCAATCTGAGTTTCGTCCAGAGCTGTGTCATTTTCATATCCAAGTTCTCACATTTTGGAAGCTTCTTACCTGTAAATCATATGGTTTTCCAGCCCTCACTAAAAAACTCAGCAATATACTTGTGTGTGCAAAGTGAACGTTCTCATCCAAGAAACCATGTAGCAGCAGCAAACGGTGTGGTCTGAGAAAGGCACGAGACAAACATTTAGACTGCTGCCTGGAATTTTAGCCATCAAAACACGCTGCTTTTAGTTTAAATATTGCAAAACTCTTGACCCAATCTTGCAGACTGCCCTTGGGCAGGAATACCACTGGCTTCCAATGCCATATTTACCCCTCCCTCGGAGTTTTCAGGATTGGGCCTTATATTTGCGGATTTACTTTATTCTCTCCCAAAAGATTATTGAGATGGGATGCTAAAAATGGTTTACATGTGCTTAAATAGCCACCGGACACTAATTCTTTAGCAAGACATATCAAATATCTTTGACTTCTAAACACACAGCCACATACGCAAACACAGATATGCTCTTACATCTCAGATAAAGCACTTTAATCAAACATAACTTTTTGCCTAGTTCAATGGAGCACAGACTAAGGGGCTAAGTACATAATTGAAGCTATGTCTGCCATTTCTTTATGCATAAGAGATATGCTTTAATTACAGCCAGCATAAAAGGGATTACTTGAAAAGACCATAATTATGCAAATGTCCATTCAAGTTTATTAAGTGCTGTTTTAAAGACTGGCATTTATCGTTTCAGAATTTAATTGCCAAGAACGAGGAGATAAAAATGTGCAGGTAGGATTAAATGTTGCTGGGGGCACACGAGAGGGGGACCTGAACTTACTCTGAAGGAAACTTCTCCGCTTGCATGGCCACTGATCCTACATAATACCCCTGTTCGTTGTGATCAGGGTGTCCCATGTAACGCTCTGTGTAGCCCGTGTCATAGAATATCCACAGCGTGACTGGTGCTCCAGCAATGGCAACCTGGAAGTTTCAACAAGATCATCAACATAAAAAATGAAAGGGACACAGGCAGCATGTCTTACTCACGACGTCCAACCATGATCACCCAACGGAGACGCTTAACACCCACAGATATTTACCGCGAATGCCGAAAAGAAACCGATGCAACGATACAGCTTGCTCCAAAGGATACTGGCAATAAAGCAACCGATCAAAAATAAAAAGTGATGGCAATTAGCCAACATCAAGCAACAAAGCACCGTCTCACATGTCAGTGACTAGTATGTGAGGGAAGCGTCTTGCATCCTTCCTCTCACGTAGACAATGCTAGGTGGCCAGGGACTTTGCTTGTATAAATCACCATGGCTCCATTGAAATCCATGGCTTTATAATCATGTCACCAGCAAAGGCTCTGGCACCAAAAGCCTCTCTGCAATGGTCTGCACATACAAGTTTCGTCACCATAGTTATGTCAGCTGAGGGAACTGATCCTTCACTGGCATTTTTCCTGTGCTTATACCAGCTCCTCAAATCAGCACAAGTTGTAATCGGAAAAGTACTTTTCTACCTTGATAACTGCATCCGCAGTAGAGGGCTTTGCCAGTACAGCTATAATGGAATGTCCGCGCCAACAAAACGCTCCCACGGGAGAAAAGGACTTGCATTAGAAATGTGGACCCTGTTCATCCTCAAAGGCCCTTTGGATGAAAAACGAATTTACGCTGAAGAAGTGAAACCCAAGTGAGAGGGGGAGCAGCTGTTACGGGGATCAATCAAAGCTCTAGTGTTTGTCTGCAATATCTCTGTCCACCAAATGCATGACATGTTTCTGGAAGAAAAAGCTCTCTGGGATTTGACAACCCCAGCCTCTTCAGTTAAGAGCTGAGATTGCTACCACACCACAGATCAAGGTGCTTCAGGGAAGACCACCAACAAAACCAGGAAAGAGACTTGACACTGCAAATATTTTTAAAGTTAAATAAATAAAGGTCTTTCACGCCCACTTTACATACTGCAGTGAAGTAAGAAGAGCCACAAAGAATAATATTGATTTTCAGCTCAGATTAGAATAATTATAATTAAGGATGTTAAGGACTAGTTGACTAGTCTACTATCCGATTGACTATTCAATAAGCATTTGCCTATTGGATAGTCAATTTCTCCCCCTCTATCAGATAGAAGCAGCAAAGGGGGGCGGGGAGGGGAGAAGAGGTACTTTGAAGCAGCAACACCGCACAGCTGAGCCAGGGATCAGCTGAGTGGTGCTGCTGCTTTGAAACCCCATTGCAGCGTTTCAAAGGGGCAGAGCTATAGAGTCCCCAGCTGACCCCAGGCTCCATGGCGCTGCCCCTTTGAAATGCCACCTTGGGGTTTCAAAGCAGCAGCTGTGCAGCTCTGCTGCTTTGAAGTATCCTTTCTCCATTTCTCTGGGGAAATGCCGAGCAGAGCCCAGGATCAGCTGGGGAGTTCCCGGCTGACCAAAAAAAATGCAAAATACAATTATAATTAAGGATGTTAAATTGCGGTTAATTGGCTAGTCGAGTAGTCAATGGAATTTCCATCAACTACTCGAATTGTCGATAGGCACTTCCACATTCCTCCTTTGAAATGTACAAGAACCCCAATCAGGGCTCTTGTACATTTCAAAGGAGGAATGTGGAAGTGCCTATCGACAATTCGAGTAGTTGATGGAAATTCCATTGACTACTCGACTAGCCAATTAACCGCAATTTAACATCCTTAATTATAATTGTATTTTGCATTTTTTTAAACATATTTTGTCTAAGAACCTCTACTACCTCATCTACACAGAAACACATCACTTTAACATCACCTGTATAAAGTGTATAACCTGCCTAGTGTAGACACAGTTATATCAGCATAAAGGTTCTTTACACTAGCATAGCTAAACCTGCGTGGAAAGGGGAATAACTGGCTATAGGAATATAACTGTGTCCACACTAGGAGATGTACTGGTATAATTAGGAGACGTCTCCACTTCTGGGAAGACTGACACTCTGGAGGTCGATCTTCTGGTGTCTGATTTAGCAGGTATAGTAAGGACCTGCTAAATTGAACTCTGAGGACACCCTCATTAACTCCAGTACTCCTTGCAGTTGTGAGGAGTCAGGGAAGTTGACAGAAGAGTTTCTCCCATCGACCTCCCGCTGTAGGGCTGCCCCAGAAAATCGATACAAGGTACATTGACTTCAGCTGCACAATCCATGTAGCTGGAGTTGCATTTCTTACATTGATTTTCTCCAGCAGTGTAGATCTGCCCAGATATATTTCTTTAAAAAAAATCATACCAGAACCAACAATTATACAGAGACAAAATCCATGTACTGACGAAGCCTAACTGCTTTGCGAATGCTAACTAATATTCCCAATATGCTATGGTGTAGGAACCTACCATCCCCAGTGAAACAAACTGACTTATCCAAAGTCGCACACAGAATCTTATCTGTTTACTGCAATGCATCCTGAAACTCAGCTTAAAATGATCAGGTAACCTGAATTTGAAAACAATTTCATAACATGGTGAAAAGTGTCTACGTTTTAAAAAACTGCCAAGTCCAAAAGGTTACATTCAAATATTTTCAAGCAAACACCAGGTAGAAATGTACTTTGGAAATGGAAATGTACTTTGTGGTTACTTTGTTCTCTCCTATTCCCCTCCAGTGTTTGTGTCCTGGAGTGAAATAAAAACCAGACTCTTTTGCACTGCATAGCACTGTTTACAGTTCAAGAGTCTTTGTATCTACAAACACACATGGGACATAGAGACACAGTTTGATTAAGAAACATCCTATGCCACAAAAATAAGCCCATGATGCATTAACGTACCCGGAAGAGATCTGACCTCTGCATTAATGCCATAAGAGACAGGTATCCTCCATAGGACCAGCCATGAATGCCAACTCGGTCTAAATCAATGAAGTCATACTGGGAAGCTAAATACTGCAGGCCTTCTACTTGGTCGTCGATTTCTATTTGACCCTGGGGGATACAGATTTTTTGTTAGTTCTTGACAAAAGTAATATTCTGAAAGTTTAAAAAAAAAAAGCAAGCAGCTTTGCCGATTACTATTTCTATTGGAGTCCCATTCCAGAATTGGGCCTCTATTGTAGTAGATGCTGTACAAACATGGAACGAAAGGAACATTCCCCAGACTGCTGACATAGTAGGGAAATTTAAGTGCACATTATCTCCACCCCGCTCAGCTTCCTCATGGGAAATGTTCATGGGGTGGTGTTCTGGTCTGGGGTGTTCTCGTTTGGGGAACGGGACTCGCTTAACCTAAGAGACAAGATCTAGGGCCAGATTCTGGCTCTGTGCATCAAACTGGCACAAAAGCATTTCAAAACACATGGCACCTCCTTCTGATCCACAGGTGAGGGCTCAGCAGGGTTCTTCTACAAACAGGACCATAGGAACGGTCATGCCCCCACCCTCTGTCGAAGGTATCCCACCTGTGAGTGGCTAGCAGGAGCGGGTTCCAAAGCTCCCACCATGGAAAGTTAGGGGCTAACTCGCCCAGCTCAGAAGCTGGCTTTACCCTGAAGCAGGTGCGGTTCTAGCTTATTTCATATCCACTCTCTCATTTTCCGCTCTAATTCCACATCAGCTGGATGCATCCACCCCCTCACAAGCCCAGACAGTGGAACGCTCCACAGTTTTGTGTCGGAATCCCTGCCAGAGCTCTCTTTATCCTCTTCCAGTAGGCTGACCCAACAGGACTCCCTCCTTCCACCCCCGCTCCTCATCTGGACTGCTCAGAAACACGTCTGGATGCTGGCTCACCTCCTGCCACTTACCATTTTGTATTTAAAGGCGCCTTCAAACTTAAGCCCTCGATGGCAGGACCCCCTGTTGTCAATGACAACGACGACGTAACCCAGCGAGGCCAGCGTGTTCAAGCGAAAATACTTGACTCCTTTAAACCGATTGTTCACCAGCTGCACCTGGAAAAAGACAACTGGAAATATGAACAGAGCCACAGACAGACCGACCACTGGAAATAAGCACGGGGGCTACAAGCTAACGACCTGACTCCTCATCTCTTAATCTGGTTCAGGATTGTTTGGTAACATCCCCTGTATCTCAAGGCTCAATTCCTTCACAGCCTGAATTCACCCGCTCATTGTGGGTGCTGCGCCTCTCTTTACCCATGTGTGTAGGGATACCGAATTCCCCTTTGCAGGGGCAGGGTCCAAGTAGTTCTCCTCCCTTAGCCGGTCCAACATCTTCCTCAGGAGCCATGGACCATGTTCAGTGCTGCACAGCTGCCTTCTGAATTCTACTCAGCCCTCCTCCTCCAAGGAGATTTTCCCTGCTCCCAGGTAGATGAAATATTGAGCTTCCCAGCATTCAAGTAAGTCAAGTGCCTGGGTTGGAAAATCGCCCCATTGATTTTGCAAGGCTGCTGTCTCACATTAGATTTATCTCCCCACCCTTGTCCCCTGGAAGATGCTGTGTGTTTCGGTAACTTCATTTTAATGGTGGGAGAGAAAGTGCTTTTGTGACCCATGGCCAGAAAGGCTTAAACATCTTGCAGGACAAATGACTCAAATTCAACCTTTGGGGACACAGCAGATAATGTTTGTGTTTTTGAGAGAGTGCGCGCGCACAGGGGGGAGGCGACCGTTTGGTTATATTGTTAGCTTCTGACAACATATAGCGTGAGAGGTTAACAATGTAACAATTATACACTATACAGCTCTCTTTGAAGTGTACAGCAAATCGTCTGAACAGCAGAAAGCAATTATCTTATGTCAATGTGTATAACTAATTCCTGATGATGCTTGGGAAATAGGTCACTTTGGAAGTCTCTAGGATTGTCTATTGTTCACCTAAAGACTCTGAACTGAAGAGAAGCTGGGATCTGTATAAAAACCTTGGATTCTCATCTTGTGTGTCTCAGATCTGCTTGATGCTTTAGTGGGGAAAAGCTTTTTTGGTTTCCCTGGGATTCTGGCCTCAGCTTCAAATCAGTTTCCTGGTCACTCTGGGTACCCTAGCAAAACAGCTTAAAAGAATTCCAGTAGGAAGAGGGAGAGCAGCGCCCTCCCAGCGCCATCCTCAGCTCAGGAACAGTCAGTATAAGAGACAAAAATTGGCAGGCATTTCTATCTGCCTCTATCGCACTGCACTCACCTGAGGTCCTCCGTATATGAAGAGCACTGTGGGGTATTTCTTCCCCGGTTGTAGGTGATGAGGTTTGTAAATCATCCCATACAACGTGAAGCCTGAAGAACTCTCAAAGGAGAAGATTTCCGGGGGAACATATTCGGGGAGAGGCCCTGCAGGCAGGTGAGAAGAAACAGACCCATTTTAACAAGGGCCTGATGGACAATGGGAGTTCACATAACTACCCACACTACAGATAATTCCAGCATGAGGCAGGGTTGCTATCATGCCTCCTATGGCCAGAAGGGACCATGGAGATCATCTAGTCTGACTTCATGTCTAGCGCTGGCCATAAGATTTCCCTGGATTAATTCCTTTTTGAACTACAGCACCTCTTTTAGAGAAACACCTAATTTTGATTTAAAAATTGCCAGACTTCACCACTACCCTTGGTAAGCTGTTCTGCTGGTGAATTATTCACACTGTCAATTATCCACACTGTGACTATCGGAATCAGCCTTCTTTCTGAGCTGAATTTGTCTAGCTTCAATGTCCTGCCATTTGATCTTGCTAGACTAGGAATGGGCAACCCAGGCTAGTGAGCAGCCTGCATGAGCAGCTCTCCATCTCAGCGGGTCTCAAGATCGTCATAACCAAGACGGTCTCCCGGGATAGGGCAGTTTCTCTCACTGCACTTGCGTACCTGGGATTCACAAGGTGTGACGACTGAACCATAGCAGCACTTTGATTGGATGCAGAGGGAGCGCACGGCTCTCACAGTCAGCGTTGTGTGCAATCGGCACACGCCTCACTTCGTGTGGCCTCGCTTTACAGGTGTGTCACTTTAATAATACCGGTAGGAAAATTAGGTGAATGGAAACCAGCGAAATCAGGCAACCCTGCATGTGGGCAATGGTAAACAAAACGTCGCGTGGGCGACACATAGAACCCTGAGGGGCCACAAGTTGCCCACCACTACGCTAGACTCTTGTCTGATAGACTGAAGAGTCCACTACCAAAGTTTTGTTCCTTGTGTAGGTACGCATTTCTGGCATAGCTATAATGCAATTTCCTCTGAGTCCCCATCTCCTGAGAAAAGTGTGTAAAAGTCACTTCCTTAGAGGGAGTGGGCACTAGAGGAGGGAGGGGAAGGTGTTTAATTTTATCTACAGCACACTTAGCACTGGAGTGTCCGCACCATGTAGGTCTGATGCAGGCCCAAACTAGGAATGTGAATGTGTACTCATATACACGGATAACTTATGAGCCTGGGCTGATCAGTTAACCCCCACAGTTACATGCAGTTCCCTTCCCCCACGCCAGGTGCTGCTGCCTCTCTATCAGAGGCAGCAGCGTAGGGGGGGGGGGCAGAAGAGGGGAGAGGGGAGCCATCTGCCTCTGTATCAGTGGGAGCCACGAATAAATGTATAACCGGTTAACATTTCAGTGGGTTACACGTTTACAAAAATAAACATATTTTAACATCCCTAGCTCAAACCCTCCTAGAGTTCAGGGATGTTTGGATCTGTGAGATTTCATTAGGCCCATTACTAGCCAGTAAGGCTCTCATTCATAAAAAAACGTTCTGAGCCAGGGACCCTGTGCTAGATGTATTCTACGAAGGTATCAATCCCAGGGAGACCAGGAGCAAACGCTCCAACCCTTTTGGGGATCACCATAGGGTATGTCCACAGTACTCCACTCGAGCAGAGTCACTCTAGCACTAAATTAGCTAGCTGAGGTCCCAGAAAAGAAAAGCTGCCGTTGGACGGGACTCCCTTAATTGAGCTAAAAATCTTTAAGCAAGAAACAAAACAAGCCCAATTTATCTGCAGGAGAAAGTTGGGGCATAACTGGAATCACCCACTTCTAAATACATTTAAGAGGATTATGAAACAGAGAAAACTTTGAGATCTGGGTGAGTGAGGAGCGATCCAAGATTCCCCATCCTGCATACAGGTGGCGGGTAGAGAAGTGCAGCTTGATGAAAGAAATAATTTTCTGACCAAGATACAGCACACTGAGCCAGATGAGCGCACTCTGTCACATGAGCGCACGTTAAGTGTCACTCCATTAAGTCTCTCAAGATGACTCTGGATGTACAGCAATGTAACAGAGCAGAACTGAACTCACTGCCTAACTGCCACTTGGCCATGAAGTCTAACTAGCCCAGGAGCTAACTATGTACATTATCATCTGCGCACGCACGCATGCACACACACACTACAAAACTAGTGGAAACAACCCTTCCAATCAAAGTTTTCTCTGTGTAAATGTCTTAGCCCCGTACACTTCCATGGGTTTGGAGCAGCATTTACAAAATGACCAGGCACAGAAATACATCAGTCAAACCTATAAAAGACTCGAATACTATGGCCAGCTGCCCCTTCCAGACATCAGCACAAAGCCAAAGGCGGATCCAGCAATCCTTACTTGTCTCACATTCCCACAGGCTGGAGTGGAACTGCTCATAGGAGTAAAAGCACGGAGAGGAACACAGAATACTGATACTACAGGCTGAACCTCTCTAGTCCGGCACCCTGGGGACTGAACCAGAGAATTTGCCAGACCACAAGAGGTCAGTATTGTAATGAGTGGGTCTCTATTTTTAGTCCACCGAGGCGAATAAATGGAACAATGTTTGCAATGCTGCTTAGTAATGTATGATAGTGCTGATACGTCCTATATATGCCTACACCTAACCAAGGCTTATTGGCTCTCTTCGTAACAAAGGGTTCGTGCTGCTACACAAAGTTACTGTATCAGCACAAGGAAATAAGTACAGCTTGAAAACCATGCTTACGCTTAGCCGCAATGCCAGCACTTCCACTGCTTAATGGGCTCTTAAAAGACACTTAGGGGTAAATTAAAGCTACATAACAGCACAGAACTCTGAGTGCCAGGACTGGTGGCTGTAAACAAACTCTACGGGACGGCGGGAAACTTGCCCACACCCATGATAGTGGACATCCAGCTCACTAAAATCATACCGGACCACTGATGTTGCCAGACCAGAGAGATTCAACCTGTACAAACATACATATATCTAGGAGTCTTTGAGGAAGAATTGTGAGGCGAGCCAAAGTTATTACCTGCTGAATCTAAAATCGTGGCCCAGAATTCCTTTGTTCTATGAGCAACTTCATCTTCAGAACCAGTCAGCCTGTACAGTGACACACAGTGCGGGTTCTTCTGGTTACTGAATTTACTGATGAACATGTCACAGTCCTACACAGAGATGACAATATTTTCTTGAACAACACAGTGAAGAAACACGAGCCCAAAGCTCCTTTACTTTTGCACTCAGAGCTCTCTGGAGAAGCTCAGCTCAAATTAAAATGGGCAGTTATAGCTCTTTTGAGAGAGAAGATACTCTTAGGAGCCATAGTTTTACTCTGCTACAGGCAGCATCGTATAGCCACAAAGGTGGCAATATTCCAAGTTTTCTGCCAGACTGTGAAACACGTGAAATTAGCAGTGGCATTAGCCTCCATCTGTATGTCGGCACCGATTCATGCCATTCTCCAGCTTGCACACACAGAGTTCAGGTTTCCGCAGTTGCTAATATATGCCCCCACGGGTTCTATAACAGATTTTACAAAGCTGACGCCAATTTCAAGAGATCTGAACACAGCTAGTACAAGGTGTGCCAAAAAACACCAGGCCCAGCCCTTTCCTAAAAGAGAGTCCCACGGAATACAAATACCTGACTAACGGTGCAGGCGTGAGAGTAATTACGGTCCGTCAGTCGCTTCACCTCTCCAGGATTCTCGTAGCTAACGACGTACAGGTGATGCTCTAAAGGGGAATCCTTTGTGCCTTCAAAATACACCAGTTTCTTTGCTTCATCAATGCGGATCTGCCAAAAAAAACCAACCACAAGCTCAGTTTGTGCCAGCCAAATCACTGAGGTAACATCAGGATGCCCAGGACTTTCCACCCCATTTCCCCCGGTAGTTACAGTTAATTTAGAGCCCATCAATGGAAAGAGCCAGTTCAAATTGTCCCATCCAATACACACAACTTGGCATCAGTCAACACTGAATTTCATTTGCTATTCTGCTGCCTGGTTTTCCAAGGGTGTTGCATTGCCATAATTTGCCGGGCCTTACACAAACTGCACGTATTTTAGCTCTACTTTTTTTGTGTAATAGAGAAACATGGTCAGAGCTGAGTAGCCACAGACATCCCTCACTTGAATTCTCTAACATTTTGGAAGAGAAACGATCAGAAGCGTAAGGTGGTAACAACGAGGGATCTGGTTGGAAAAGATAGCACCTCTTTTGCTCAGGCCAGCTCACTTCCACTCAGCAGGAGGAATGAAATATAAAGCCTCAAAGGCTGACTTGAGACACTAATACTGGGTGTACACAAAAAGGAGAAAAGAGGGCGAAGTTGAAAAGAGCAGAGCTGACCAAGAGTATGTTAATCCCTTTGAAAAAGTCCTCCAATACAAGACAGCAGCTGGGTGCTAGAGCTTTGGCCCTTCCATCCTACTGCTCAGGGGATGCTTGAAAATTTTCCTTCTGCCTACTTGCGATGCTATTTGTCTCCCCCTTCCAGATCCCTGCAGGTCCTTACTAGTTACTGTCTTTACTAGACAAACTCTTGAGAAACTAAAGGCACAAAGCAAAGAAAACTGTCAGCTAGAAATGCCTCTCTACGTTGCTTATCTCTGTGACCGAAATCACAGACTCAGGGCTGGAATGGCGAGTTAAACAACTGGAATCTGCTAACATTAAAAGTAAAGCAGCTGGCTACTGTTGCTCCCCAGTCAAGCCTATCAACCATCCCCACTTTGTGTTTAAAGCTGCAGCCTCATGGGAGACCCGGTTCCTCTGTTAATTCAGCAGGGTACTAGTATCCCCAGCCACAGTGTCTGCAGAAGGCCTACCCTCCGCCCACTGCCTTGCATAGGGCTTCAGTGGCCAAGAGGTGCCTAGCCCTGAAGGGCGGGCAGATACGGCACACCACCCTCGCGCTGGCTCTTTGCACGGGGTGAGTTTAACCCAGAATGAATACAGCTTGGGCTGGTTTCTCAATGTCGCCCCAAACTTGACCTCAAGAGAGAGACACCACGTGTGAGAGATAGTGGCTCTGTTTCCAGGGCACTCAACCCCTTGCATTTCCACATTCACGTACCGATGTGAGCGCGCCGATTAAGGGGTGAAATTAAGGAGTTTGTGAACAGCACTTGTTTATTCCGCAAACACCCATGTCACAACATGGGCCTGCACAGCTGAAAGGCCTCAGGCCATTCCAAGCAGCTTTTCTTTTTCTCGGCCTCTCGGCAAGCCTGTCCCTTCACCGAAACGACAATACAGGCACTTCTCTCCTCTCACACAGGGGGCGATGCACGGCCAAAGACCCCGTGAGCAGAGCTACGCAAGGAGTGTACCTTTGCCCCATCCCCCAGAACAAAGTTTGTGACCAAGGCTGAGGACAGAAATGTGGGGGGGTGGGGGCAGCTCAGGGTCCTCCCTGAAGGAGCAGGGCCTTGGCCAGAAGGGGCCGGCTGGGGGCTTCAGAGCCACCTGGGGTTTCTGCAGTGGTTTAAAGGGCCCAGAGCTCCAGCCTGGCTACAGCCAGCTGCCCTTCCCCCGTACCCTCAGTCAGCAGCCCTGTTTCTGACCTTTGGCCTTCAACATGGGAAAAGTTCCAGACTGTGCCCTGTTCAGTGAAATACTTTGGCATCAGGCTCAGTGCCAAGATGAAATTCACAAAAGGTCAGAAGGGATCATTGAGATCATCTAGCTGTGTAACTGCGATAAACTGGGCACCCCTCCATACAGCTCTACCCCTCTATCTAGCTCCTCACCACTATGTGCCCTGGCTGCTCCTCAGACATGACTGCCTCCCTCTCTATCCAGAAGAGGCGAGCAGTACAGTCTGGCAAGAGAACCAAGAGGCTGATGAGGGATTCTAGGACCTAACCCAGAGTTAAACCCAGACTATCACATAGGCCTTATGTGACCCATCTTACAGATACAGATCTTTATTCAAGTAAAATAAAACGAAGGGACATACATTGGAACCATGTCTACCAAGCACTTCCCATTCTCCACTCGTAACTGCTAATTCCTCTTTGATGGGACACTTGAAGTCGCCTATAAACAAGACACATAGTTAGAGATTTCCAGAGAGATTTTCAGCACAACAAAACCTCACAAAGAGAATGTCACTTTCAGAGTTGGCTTGATTTAACCTAGTCACAAACTGGGGCTGGGAAAGAATTACACCCCTTGGAACTCTCCAACTCAGCATCACACAGCTGGCAAGAGTGTTCCAGGGAGAGCAGGAGGGCTCACTGACATGCTGGGAAAAATGTCAAAGATTTCTCAGTTCAACAGTTTGCCCCCAACTCGTTCTGCAACCGTTAGAGTTGCCGATTCCTACCACACTTGCTCAAAACGAGCAGGTTTTGCACTGAAATATGCAAAATGAGATCTATGGAATTGGTAAGGGCATGGTGGTAAAAAGAAGGGATTTTGCTGGAAAAAACAGCACCACTTTTGCTCTGGTGGGCTCACTTTCATTTAGAAAGAAGTTCTATTCTGAGGGAAGCTTCAAAGTCAAGGCATTTGACTAAAATCAAACTGAAGAGTAAAACTTGAAAATGTCCAGATTTTCTAATTTCTCCCATAAGCTTACACATAGCCTCATGTTAACCAGAAATCTTGCCTTCCTCAAGAGCATCAGCTATTTACCACTGCCAGAAGAAGGAAGTCAGGCTAGACACATCAACACCAGTTATTAGATTTTTAGCCACTATAGCAATAATGAATTTTATTTCAAAAGGCGGATTTTGCTTTCTGAAAAAAAAATCACCTGCCTGACACTGGGACATTATATTATAGGTTGAACCTCTCTAGTCTGGCACCCTCTGGTCTGGCAACATCCATGGGCTGGCATGATTTTAGTCAGCTAAATGTCCTCTTATCATGAGTGTGGGCAAGTTTCCCACAGTCCCGTAGAGTTTGTTTACAGCGACCAATCCTGGCTCTCAGTGTTCTGTGCTATTTATCTCTAATTTACTCCGAAATGTCTTCTCAGAGCTCAGTGAGCAGTGGAAGTGTTGGCAATGCTGCTAGACAATATGGACCTCCCGTGGTCCGGCAAATTCTCTGGTTCGGCACCGGTCAAGTTCCAAGGGTGTCGGATTAGAGAAGTTCAATCTGTAGTATAATGATATGCATCCTTCGTTTGGTATGCAGGGCTGAGCATGCTGTCCTTACATAGCAAATAGATTAATAGTATCCTGACTCCCTCCAGGCACAATTTGCAATATGGGAGTTTAGTGGAAAGAATACACAATGCAGCAAGATTGGGGATGTTAAATTTAGATTAACTAATGGAATAGTTGATGGGATTTCCATAGACTATTCGATTAGTCTATAAGGGCGCCAGGTTAGTGCTACAGTTCAAAAGCAGACGCCCCACAGGGAGCATAGGATTTCCTTTTGAAATGTACAACAGCCTCACTGGGGCTCTTGTACATTTCAAAGGCTGAGGCACTGCAGGGAGTGCGGGACCAATGAGGGAGTCCCCTCCTGGCCCCCCGCTCCCTTCAGAGCCTCAGCCTTTGAAATGTACAAGAGACCCACGGCTCTTGTACATTTCAAAAGCAGAAGCCCGGGAGGGAGTGAAGGGCCAAGAGGGGACTGGCCCCACGCTCCCTGCAGTATCTGAGCCTTTGAAATGTATAAGATCCCCCAGGGGGCTCTTGTACATTTCCAAAGCAGAATTGAGGCACAAGTGGAGACTGCTTCAGTCCCCTTTTGCACTGTGTCCCGCTGTGCCTCTACCTCCCCTGCCTCCCACGGAGACGGTGCTGGGGGGAACTGGCTTTTAAGATAGCTCCCCTGAGCACCGGCTCCTGACTCCGTTGCTGCCTTTCTCTGATAGAAGCGGGGGGGAGGAGAGTGACTAGTCGCATCACTAGTTGACTGGTCTCTTACATCCCTAAGCAAGATGTCCAAGGGTTTTGTGCAAAACTGCACTGTACACCTAAGTGGGGCGTTACATTGTATTTAAACCAAATGTTCCACATTTTTGGCCCCAATCTGATATTCAGTACTTCTAAGGCATGAAACCCAAAGTTTCTGCACTATGACCAGCATGTGTTCTTTCAATTCTCTCTATAGCAATCTGTGCCAAAAGGCAGAGAGTAGACTTATGTTTACATGTTACATGCCAAGAGTTCATGCCCAGCCCTGTGCACCAAAGGCCTTTATTACTTGGAGACCCCACGTTTCACCCAATTTATTTTTCAGAAGGCAAAATCCCGTTCGGACATGAACCACGCCACTGCTAGGCTGGTTAATCTGCAAGACCAGGGCAGCATTTCCATAGGCCCTCCATTGAACTTGACCAAAAAAACCAACAAAGCACATTTCTCAGTGACAGATGGAATGTGGACATTTAACTACCAGCTGCACGTCTGAAAACTGTCCCTCTTCGTTAATCGAAAGAACTAGGATTAAAACTGAAGCCAGAATATAGATACAGAATTATCTGTACCATCCATCCTGCCTTTCGTTACAAGCACATGTGATACTTCGCATGAGTGAGTATACCCAGTGATGCTAATTAGACTAGTGCTATAGAAAAGCTTTGAATTATGATTATGATGTACATTCTTCAAAGTTCTGCTGGAATGGGGAGAAGGGAAAGTCTTCACTGGAGAGGAAGAGATCTTTCTTGCCTCAACAATATTCAGTAGCAAGCAACAATATTGAGCCCCACTGTGGCTGCTTACTTGGAGCAGGGAGGCCTCCACACGATCGCTTGTATCTGCTCTCCTTCAAAACGGACGTGATTTTGTACAGGTGCCGGAAACCTGTCGGACATTCAGAGGCGAAAATAAACTCTATCTCATCTTGGCGGGTTTGAGAGAAAACGTGGAAGATGTCATGGATCTGTAGAAACAAAGTGGTTTGTTTGTGGCTATCGACAGGACTTGGACACAGCCATTACTTCTCACTGATTTGGAGCAGACAAGTGCAAAAGCTGAATGTTATACCATAGTGAAGAGGTTCACCCAACTTCATTCTAGGGACCAACCACTCCAAGAATCATAGAATACTAGGACTGGAAGGGACCTCGAGAGGTCATCGAGTCCAGTCCCCTGCCCACATGGCAGGACCAAATACTGTCTAGACCATCTCCAATAGACATTTATTTAACCTACTCTTAAATATCTCCAGAGATGGAGATTCCACAACCTCCCTGGGCAATTTATTCCAGCGTTTGACCACCCTGACAGTTAGGAACTTTTTCCTAATGTTCAACCTAAACCTCCCTTGCTGCAGTTTAAGCCCATTGCTTCTTGTTGTATCCTCAGAGGCCAAGATGAACAAGTTTTCTTCCTCCTCCTCCTGACACCCTTTTAGATACCTGAAAACTGCTATTATGTCCCCCCTCAGTCTTCTCTTTTCTAAACTAAACAAACCCAATTCCTTCAGCCTTCTTTCAGAAGGGAAGAACCTCTGTGGGACCTATCCTCACACACTTGTTCAAGAGGTCTCATTCTGCAGAACTGATCGAAGGACTCCAAAACCCATCTACAGCCCATAATCCTGCAATGGATTACCCTGCAGATTGCTGTGAACATTACACATGCAAGCCTAGACAGAGTTTCATTCACTGTCTTGGTCATCATCTCACTCCTGAATGGCAGCCCACAGAAAAATCTCAACCAAGTTCTCTCTCTCTCCCTTGCTGGAGAGAGAGAGGCGGCCACCGAGTTCTGCAGAGGAAGACTGGCAGCCTATGACAAAAAGCTAGCTGAAGAGAAGGTCCATAGTCAATTGCCTCTTATTTAAGAAGTCTGCAGTGCAGCCCTGGAAGAAAAGGGCTGTATTTCTTCTCTGAAAGGTGACCTGGGGTTAGTCTCCTTCTGCTTGCTATATGGGGATAATAATTTTAGGTACATGGAGAGAAGGAGCATTTGCCTGGTTTCAGCTGTACTATATGCAACTCAGTCCTAAGTGAATGGGCTGCGTTGAGTGGCCCTCCTTCATTTCAGTGGGACGCAAGATTATCATAACCAAGAGAGTCTCCTGGGATAGGGTAATCAAAAAACAGGACAATGTAGCACTTTAAAGACTAACAAGATGGTTTATTAGGTGATGAGCTTTCGTGGGCCAGACCCACTTCCTCAGATCAAATAGTGGAAGAAAATTGGCACGACCATATATACCAAAGGATACAATTAAAAAAAATGAACACACATGAAAAGGACAAATCACATTTCAGAACAGAAGAGGTATGGAGGGGGGAAGGTAAATGTCTGTGAGCTAATGATATTAGAGGTGATAATTGTGGAAGCTATCTTTGTAATGGGTAAGGTAATTAGATCCTTTATTCAAACTCAGGTGTAAAGTGTCAAATTTAAGCATGAATGAGAGTTCAGAGGATTCTCTTTCAAGACTGCCTTACAGAGGCAAGAGGGAGAGGAACAGGGAATACATTTAACGAAGGGGGCAAATGTGATTCACAGACACTGAGGGACACAACTCTGTTTTAGGTAAAAAGGGGGCTTTAGATAGTTGTGATCAGGTAAGCATGCGGGCTCTGTGTTTTGGTGCTTAATTCTAGAAGATAAGCTGTGCTCCAATAGCATCAGTCCACTGGAATCTGGTATCAGTGAAAGATCTTAAGGAGGCTTAAGGAACTTGATTCCAATATAAAACAGCTCGGAGAGACAGTATAGTCTAATGGACTAGGTGCTGGGTGGGTTCTAGTTCAAACTCTGCCATGCTCCTGCCATGTGACTTTGGACATTATTTGTCCTCTCTGCTTTCCTAACCTTGTACTGGTGGGTCTATATTTGGTATAGATTGCAAGCTCTTCAAGGCAGGGACTGGCTTACTCTATCTATAATACACCCACCACAACAGAGACCTTTATTCTGATTGCACCCTCTACATACTAGAAAAGTGATTCTCAAACTTTGGCCCATAGCCCACCTGGCTCAATGCAAACCTTTCCACAGCCCACCAGGTGCTAATGGAAACTCGCCATTCAATTACATAATTACACCCAAGCCATTTTGCTAGCACTGCAGCTAGGGAGAATGGTTTAATTTAACCAGTAAGAAAGGAAATATTAATTGAAATTATTAAACAGATTAAGCACTTTAACAGTCTCATGTTAGTTTATCAAAATTCATTTTAAATAAAGTAAAATATTAATTTATGTCCAACATAAAAGGTTCCCATGTTTTCTTTATTTATGGCAGGGGTGGGGAACCTTTTTTGGGGTCAGGGGCCACTGACCCATAGAAAGATCAGTTGGGGACCACACAAGTGAGAAGCAAATAAAACCTGCAACCTTCACTGATGTGCCCCCAACTGAGACCCCTCACTCCAGCTCTACGGGGGGAAGGGAGGGACAGGGAGGACTGAGGTTCAGGGCTTCCCATAGGCCAGATTTACTCTTCTGGGTTCCAGAGTTAGTGGATTTTGTGGACCCCTGAGGCTCTGGGGTAGAGACAAAAATGAGGGGTTCAGTGTGCAAGACAGGGCTGCCAGCAAGTGGGACAGGAATGAGGGTGCAGGATCTGGGAGGAGGGGTGCAAAAGCAAGCTTGGGAGTAGCGTGTGTGGTCAGGGAAGAGGGGACAAGAGCATGGGTGAGTGCAGGAACAGGCTGGGGGTGCAGGGTCTCGGTAGCAGGATGCATGAGGGGGTATCGGGGTAGATCTGGGCATGAGGGGGTAGGAGGGAACTTACCTGCTTTGGCGCCCTGCACTTCTCCCATGCACTGTGTCCCAAGCACAGCCTCCCACTGCTCCCATTGGCTGGAATCCAGTCAATGGGAGCAGCGGGGAAAGCCTTCCGGCAGCACATCCACATGCTGCTGTTTCCCCAACCAGGGGAGGGGGAGCGGCAGTGCTCAGAGCTGATTGTGGCTCTGCTTTTTCCCCCGTGAGCCACATCTGGCAGAGAGGATCGGGGCTCTCTCTCCATCCCCACCCGCCCCCAAAGGGAAGCCAGTGCTGACTCTCCAACATCGCAGAAGTGGGCATGAGACTGGAGCACCAGCACAGGTTCCTTACTGCGGGGCAAGAGGGAGGAAGGAGGGGAGCTGAGCTTGATCTGTGGACCACCTGGAAGGCAGCTGTGGACCACCTGTCGTCCAAGGACCAAAGTTTGAGAACCACTGCACTAGAATAATGCAAACACCACCAATGCTGCTAAGAGTGTGCAAAACAGTCCCCTGACCCATAGACTGTCAGAAGAGTTTAAAATTAAAATTCTTACATTTATCCAGACGTCTGTTGTTTCTTCATAAATAATAAGTGGCGTAACAGAGTCTGGCACAGCATCTATTAGTTTCTGTCTTTCCATAGCATCATCTTCTACCGGGATAAATAATGCAGGGGAGATCAACACTATCTGTAGCCGTGTCTGGGAGCGATCCAGCAAGATGGACCAGGCACTATTGCAGAAAAAAAATTATTAATTATGGCAGCATTTTCTTCTTAAAGGAATTAGGCAGCTGAAAATTTCATTTTGACCTTCAAAAACACCCCCAGTATTTTGGTGGCATCAAGAATGGTCAGTTTCAGAGCCAGTTAGAAGATGCATCTAACTTTGACCAGGGAAGATAAATTTTTACCCTAGCATTTCAAGGAATCACATCACCTCTTAAGTAGGAGTAGAAGAACTAGTTTTGCCTGATTTCAACCCCACTCAAACCCCAGGGTTGGTTTCAAAAGCTCAACTAGCTCTAATGTTACCAGATATGGACTCTGCTTAGGGCAGAAAATGGAAAGAGGAGCAAAGAAAAGAAAATCTAAAGGGAAGGAGAAAGCAGAAGCTTTTAAACTGAAATATAAAAGCCACTTGTGATATTTCTAGTCTTTTAGATGCTTAAAAAATAATTCTGGAGCTTAAATGGCTTGACAGTGTCCTCTCCAGTGGCCCCCATCAGCCTGTTGATAGTAATCCATGCAGCCTTAAAATTTCTGTAGGAAGCCAAGCAAACACAGGAACCTGACTCCTATACTACTTCTGTGTAAACAAAATATTAAAAAGAGGCTGTCAGCTGTTGATCCAAAGGGTGGGATAAGTTCAATTCTGGAACAACCATGGAGGAGTTAGAAACATGAGTCTTTAGGGCTACAAGGTTCACGAAAACACAGTTGGCACTTACAGTGGGTTTTCTGACCAGTAGGTTTGGTCAGTAACGATGGCCCAGTGATTAAGGTGCTACCCTGGGAATTGGGGACATTGGGTTCGATGCTCTCCACATCCACAGACTGCCTCTGAGAGCCTGGGCAAGTCATTTGATCTCTCTAACACCAACTTCCCCATCTGTACATGGGGATATTATCTCTCCCTGACTCCCAGGGGGCCTGGGAGCTGTGCTTCCTATGAGCTGTGCGGCTGCCCAAGACCCAGTCAAGGGCCCCACACTTGATTAGCAGAGCCGCACCCATCTGGTGACAGGTGTCCCTCCCCTCGCTGCTCTGAAACCCCCTTCTCCTGCCTTGGTGCCCCTACTCTGCTGCTCCAATGCCTCTCCTGCATGCGGTGCAGACCACGGGGCTGATGTCAGGGTGACTGACACCCACACATATACCCCCATATCCGCAGAGCAGAGGCAGGTGCAGGATGGACCCACTGTGGTGAGTGCAGCTGTGCTTAAAGAGACAGTGAAGGGTCACCCATATTCTCCCCTCGCAGCCAACACACACACGCAGTCTTGTGTTACAGTTGTTACTCCTGCCATGCACATATCTTCTCTGCCATTTTTTCGAAGTGTTGCTATTTTAGGTATTCGACTGGTCTGTGCATTTCCTACACTCTTACACTTTGCCTGACTTGACCTGGCTGGAGTAATTACCCATGGTAATGGACGGTACATTTTAAAACATACTTATTGCATCTAGGTTTCTGGTTTCTACGTGGCTGGAAAAAACGGAGGGAAACATCGATTGGGAGAATAGCTACATTAAAAAGACTGCGAGGTGCTCGGCTGCTGTAGTGATGGGGCTAGAGAAGTACCAGAGACTGACAATTTGATGTGATTTTTGCAGCAGTTCCTCCATCGCACCACTCAAACCAGTGAGGAGCTGCGCAGGAACAAGGGCAGGCTTAAGGAAGGACACAAGCCAGAACAGTCCATTTCTAACCATACCAATCCCTGTAAGCAGACACAGGTTTAACATACGCACTATTTTCCTTCTGGAGTCCATCCAGCTCTAGCAATATACTCTACTCCTTCAAAGAGGATCTCAAATGGTTGCACCAGTTCTTTATCCATGACAGCAGCAATCTGTTGAAGAGCACAGCAACATAACCAAAATATACCAGTGATACCAAAATAACCTCGCAAAGGTACAGTGTGTGTATATGGGGGGGGGGGGTGCATATATCTACACAGACTAAAAACCTTCCACTGTACAGAGCAAAGTCAGTGTACACGTGACATCTATCCACAGTGACTCCAAGATCTCTCTAGAGTGGTATTCGCTAATTTAGTCCTCATCATTTTGTACATATAGATGGGATTATTTTCTCCAATGTGCATTTCTGTGCATTTATCAAAATTAAAATTCATTTGCCATTTTGTTGCCCAATCACCTAATTTGGGGAGGTCCCTTTGAAGCTCTTCACAGTTTGCTTTGGTCTTAATTATCTTGAGCAGTTTAGAATCATCTGCAAATTTTGCCACCTCACTGTTTACCCCTTTCTCCAGATCATTTATAAATATGTTGAATAGGACTGATCCCTGGACCGACCCTTGGGAGACACCACTAGTTACCTCTCTCCACTCTGAAAACTGACCATATTTATTCCTACCCTTTGTTTCCCATCTTTTAACCAGTTATCAATCCATGTGTAGGCCCAGTATTCATGTCTCCAAGTCAGCTTTTGAGGTTTTACATTTCATTCCTCGCCCATTACAGCCATCCATCCCCCAGACACAATGATAGACAAAGGGCTGCAAACCCCTATCACAGAGGACTGAGGCCCAAGAGATCTGGGTTCCATTCCCAGCTCTGCCACTGGACTGCTGGGCGACCTTGGGCAAGTGACCTCTCCCCTCCTTGCCTCAGTTTCCTCACTGTTTACAGTTATACTACAACAAATCCTAGATTGTGATTCCTTTGCCTGTCTACACTGGAAGTTGGCACCAATGTCAGTTACCTAACTACTAGCCACTAATGGCAAAATCCTGACCCTAATTATACACTGAGGGTTGCTGTATCCAGCTGGTGTTGGTTACGAGATCTTGCACTGGGCTGGACAAGCCTGCTCCGACAGCCTTTGTGGCCATCAGAAGATCCTGAGCAGGAACACATGTACAGATGTAGTGGTAAACCTCTGGGATGGGTTACCTAGGGAGGTTGTGGAATCTCCAGCCCTAGAGGTTTTTAAGTCCTGGCTTGACAGAGCCCTGGATGGGTTGATTTAGTTAGGGTTGCTCCTGCCTTGGGCAGGGGGTTGGACTTGATCACCTGAGGCCTCTTCCAATCCCAGGATTCTATGATGATAAATTCTCTTCCCAGTTCAGGCTTTCCCATGAAGCTGCATCTGCAGCAGACTAGACACCAGAACAGAAGGTCTGATCACCCACAGTGGAAACGGAACACCCTGGAACATGACTTCTCAGCATGGTGACAGGACAGGAGGCGTGCTGTGATATACACACACCAGGTATCTGGTACTAGAATGGAGCTATTCTGTTAGAAACATGGTGACACTTGCACATCTGCTTGCTCTGACAGGAGATACTAATTAAATAAAAAGTCATTGATGTAAATTAAATGTAGAAAGTAAATGGAGCTTAAAACTTACTCTTCCTTCAGCATCAACTGTTATTTCAGACATCTTAAAAGTGACCTTTGGATTTGCTGTACCTATAAAACAGACAGACATTAACAGACACACCAGCTGTGCAACAGAAAAGGGGTTTGCCTCCAAGAGGACATGTCCATGTTTTGAACAATTTGGAAAGTAGGTTCATGTAGAAATGGAGCGAGCAAAGAACAGAACACACTTTGACTCATTAGCCTCAACATGCTGCCCGTGGAGGGCATGGACTCTGCGGCAAAGAGGAAGTAACAGATCGGCCTGAGATGTAGGGAGAGGAGGCATGGAATGGAACTGCATAACCTGCTGTAAGAACAGCAGCTCTCCAGTACAGGTGTTGACCTGGTTAGACTTGCAGTATGATCTTCACATGTAGTTGTAAGTCAGCCTTCAGAACGCTATACGTCACCTCTGCCTCCCCACTTCCAAATGTTACCATACGCCAATGCCCAATTATATTTGCTTCTATACTGTCTCACCCTCCTGCTGCAAAACAATATCTGTAAAGACCCAAGTCTGGCTGCCGGAGACCTACTCTTGCCAGGACCTACTGGTTGTACATTGGGTCAGGAGTGCACAAAGCCTGTGGCCCAGGCTCTAAGCAGAAAGTGTCCGGATCTGAGGTGTGCCCAGCACACAGCGCTCCTAATCCATATGCCACATCACTAGTGCACTGCCAGCGACAGCGCAATGTGATCTCTCAGCAGAGTTCACACTGAGATTCAGCGTTGTAAAGAGAAACATCACAGTGTCAGACAAACGTAGGACAGCAGCTCCAGAAGAGTGAAGACACAGCAGTGTGCTGCCAACTCACAACAGACCCAGGCTCGGCAATGAACTTAGGACCTATGCCACCCATGTGGCTGGAAAGCTTGATGTTCATGGAGACTGCTTTTCCAGCCACGTTCAGTGCACCAGGACAGCAGTCAGTTAAAAGAGCCACACGGATTAACCCAGGCAGCACCATTCACACAATCTTGTCTTTGGAGGCTAATATGGGCATTGCCACAAAACAGGAAGAATACGATGAGAAGGAAGAAAGAGGAGAGAAGAGAGCAATGGTCTCACCAGTTTTGGGATATCTAAAAGAATCCGTCCTCCTGGTCTCCAGCATGGGTGATGTGACGTGAATAATTTCCACTTCTGACTCATCATTTTCTTCATAAAGAATCCTAAGAATTTTGCCCCCGGTGGCAGCTAGAAAAGAACAAATATTTGTTCACATTCAACACAGCTGTAACATAAATATCTCACACAATGGCATGTTCCTTTCAAGAAGCTCTATTGTATTCCACATGCCACTGCTCCAACTAGGCAGTAAAGTGAATTTGACCTTTCACTTCACCAAACAATCTTCAATCTCTGAGGCTATGGCTACACGGCACAGGTTTTGCACAAGAAATATGCAAATGAGGCTAAGCGTGGAATATCGCTGAACCTCATTTGCATAATTAATGAGAGGCTACTTTTTGAACAAGAGGCTTTTGCGCAAAAAGGAACAAAAAAAACCCTCTTGTGCAAGAGCCGTTTTTCTGCTTTTTTTCCCCTGAAAAAACGGCTCTTGCGCAAAAAGCAGCCGCTCATTAATTATGCAAATGAGGCTCAGCAATATTCCATGCTTAGCCTCATTTGCATCTTTCTTGCGAAAAACCAGCGCAGTGTAGACGTAGCCTGACAAACGCTGTTAGAACTTGTGTTAGTAAAAATCTCTTCCTTCTGGGTTACATGACCCAACCATGAGCTGGTCTCTCATGAACAGAGAAATGCTCCATATTGTACATACTTCCTTTCTCTTGTTCTTTTCTCCAATTTTATTATAAAGATATTTGTCTAAAAGCAACTCTTCATTCCTTAAGGGCTCACCGCCTTACTCCCTCCCTCTGAAATCATAGTTTTGTCTGGGACCTCGTGCATTACACAACAGACTGTTGTGAAGTTACACAGAGAGGGTCCTACCGCAAAGTGGGCTGAGAAGCAGGAAGTGAAACATTCCAGAGCATGTATAAGGCCCGGAGCCCCTGAAACTAAAGCTTTGTCCACATTACCAACTGAACGACAACACTTTTGTTAGAAGATGCTTAAAAAAGCCCCCAAAGACAGAGGTTTTGCCGCAGCAAGTGGTGCTGTGAATAGCCTGTAGTCAGTAGCGCTCTCCTTTACATTAACAGACTTTTACATTGGCAGACTTTTAGTGACAAAGCCGTGCTGCTAAAAGCTGTGTAGTGTAGACAAACCCTAAGGAACTGATCACACAGAAACATGCCTCAAGTAATGTAAATGAAGAACTCGAGCAGGAAGGAGCTAATTCCAGTGCATTTCAAAGCAAGCGGTCACTGTGTGTGAGGACAGGAAGTCAACGACTGTAAACGCATTCCTCTCTCCTCCATCAGGGGGGAAAAAAAAGTACGCGTGGGTAGCTGGAATGTCAATTTGTTTCTGTAGGAAGAAACTGTCAATAAGCACCCAAGAAAACTTCTTCATCTCTGGACTGCTTGGATTCCATAAGGCTGAAGATGGAGATGCTCAGAGTTATTATGCGTAGCCCTCAAAGACTTTTGGGAAACTGACAGATTGCTACATCTCTGTTACCATTTGGAATTATAGACTGTGAATCACCAGTAAAATATGGATTTTACCTCTTTCAACCACTTAATAATTCATTTCCTTTTTCCAATAAACCTTTCGTTTGCTATAGAATTAGCTACCAGCATTGTCTTTGGTGTGATATCTAGGATGCAAATCAACCTGGGTGAGCGATGGGTCTTCTTGGGACTGGATAAAACCTAAATGTTTTCTGATTTTGGTGAGGGCCACATCAGGTACAGAAATTGTATGGAGGGCTGGGTAGGGAAGGCTGGGAGAGGCTGTGCCTCCTCAAACAGTCAGGCATGGCCCAGCCCCCCCACCCTTATGCAGCCCACTCCCACCTCACACCCCTTGAGCACCTCCCAAGACTTCCACCTAGACGGAACTGCATTCGCGGCCAGAGCATCAGGGCTTGCAATGAACTGATTGCACCGACAAAGCACTAGGGGAGTTGAAGCGGCTGGGGGGCAGGAAGAGGCAGAAAGGGAGTGGCCCAGGGCTATCAATTTGTGCTTTCTATGCTGTCTGGGAATTAGGCTAGCTTCTGCAATGACCCACTGCTCCCCGCGCCTCCCCTCCGGTCTAAGAGAACTTTCTATGAATTCATTGTAAGACGACTGTAGTACTTTGTGAGGTCACATTGGGGACTAAGTTGGTGAAATCTAATTCTAGAACACACCACCAGTTTGGGAAGTCTGCCCTATTTTTGACAGTCTGCCCTGGAAGTAGGCACTCCAGGCAGCGTGACAATGTTTCATGCCTGTCAGACACTTGGCATACTTACTTGGCTCAGCATTCGGACACCACCAGTAGCCAGTGTATCTATCGAACTCCTCCTGCAGCACAAAAGTAGCCACCCCAGCAGATCTGGGATCCTCTTCTATGTTGGACAATTCTAACAGGCAACACGAGAGAGTGTTAGGCAAGATCGGAGCTTATATGCTGCCACAGCATCTAAAACCACTCCCAAGTTGTGTTTATCCAACGATGGGCCAAACTGCCCCCTGGCACAAACAGCAGATAGGTTTGTTTTCCAGGGTTTTTTTCAACTTCCAACCAGTTTCCCAATTTTAAATGAATGGCTACTAATAAAGAAAACATCCTCTTTGTATCTGATCGCTTAACTAAAACCTAAAATAATTATAGCAAAAGTGTTTCTGCACAACAGTACAGAACTTTCAGTACATACATTGGCAAAAAACAAATACCAGCACTCACCTCCCCCCCTCACCCCCGCAGGTAAAGACTGAAAATAATATAGATATCTCATGTAGGGCATGACACTGTGACTTACTTTGAGTTGAGCTCAGAAGTTAAAGGTATTGTCCCCCCATGCTTCCCTGTACCACTGAAAAAAGCAACACCCTTAAACTATTTAAAATGTGAGGATGGCTCCTTAATGCAGCATTCTTTATTTATATAGATTTTAGGAAGCTAAGGCTGTCTTAACACAGTTTGTCAGTTTCATATTTTATAGGTTAACATTTAAAAAGAAAAATGTATTTAACTCGTACAAAAAAATTATTTTTAATGTATTTTTATCCACCCTAGAAATAGGTATTGCCCCGTCCCTTCATCCAAATCACACACTGCTATATTTGTAAAATACAGCTGAAGGTGGAAGTGAAGAAAGAGAAATAAATTATTATCTGAACAAGAGGCAGATGCAAGCATGCAAGTCAGAAGGTCTTTAGATCACTTTTTTAGAGTTTTGCCCACCAGTGATCAGACATGCTGCAGTCTCCTCCCATTCTGCCCAGCTCACTGCACCTCCTCTCTGAAGGAAGCAGCCACAGAGAAAAGGGGAAACTTTGGGTTCAAGGAGAAAAGCCTTCCTGAGGCATTCAGGGAATGAGCCACCTCGCCAGACTCTGCAGACATGGGAATGAATTTCTCCATGATGCCAACAGCAGAAACACAAAAATGGAAGTGAGCAACCTGTGGCCCATCAGGGTTCTGTGTGTGGCTCATGAGACACTTTGTTTACCGCTGCCCCCGATTCTGCTGGTTTAGTCCACATAGATGTTTTCCTTCTAGTATTACTACAGTCACATGGATTGAAAGCAATGGCATGAGAAGTGAGGTGTGTGCTGAATGCACACAACATTGACCGAGAGAACCGGGCGCTCCCTCTGCATTCAAAGCGCTAGTATGACTCAGTCGTCCCACCCTGCAAATTGTAGGTACACAAGTGCAATTAGTAAAATGACCCTGTCCTAGGAGGCCATCTTGGTTACAACAAACTTTTGGGCCACTGAGATGAAGAAAGACCACTCATGCGCCCCACTCATTAGCCTAGGCTGCCCATCGCTGACAAAGAACGTGACTTACAAATGGTAAAATTCAACCCTGCAAGAAACAGGGGCAAGAATCACAAATTTCAATAGGAGCCATTAACACCAGAGCCAAAATTCGTCTACAGAGTATCCACACACAGACACAAGGCTGAAGAGATCAAAGATCTGGACTGCAAATGGAAGATTCATTACCATTATGAACAAAGGTTATCCTCCTTTCTTCTTTGGTGAGTATATTAGATATCCAGATGTCATTACTATGGATAAATGCAATCCAGTTTGGATCAGCTGGACACAGTTTTGGATCCATCCGTATGTTTGGACAACTGGTCTCCACTAAATTGGGCTTTAAAGGCTGTTGCTGTTTAAAAAAAGAAAAAAACAATTAGACAGCAATATAAGACACACTGACAACAGGAGATGAACTGTGTTATTCTGTTCATCTCCAAAAAGATGGATAGTTACCATTAAGCACAGATACAAGTGTTACCAGCCCTGAGTAACCAACTTCTACTTGCATTCAAATGCGAGGATTTAGTGTGAGAGGAAGCAAACCCTTTTTGACCTAGAACAACAAAAATAACCCACACAGTGTCTGCCTGGAAGCTTCTGCTGCCAACGTGCCTATTGAGTGGTTCCACAGATGCCACGCTAACGCCCCCAAAGACAGACAGCTTTTATCCGCACTAGCAGAAAGTCAGCTTGTTTACAAAGGCTTTTTAAAAAAAAAAAAAAGGCCTCACCCTGATGGATGAGCTGGCTGAAGCACGCAATAGCCTCGTCCACTAACCCTGCTGAGAATGCAGCAGCATCCATCAGATGATATTAGAGTGACAACAGGCATTTGTTATATTAAAAAGAAATTACTCTGGCTTGGAAGTCAGAGTCCAGCTTCTGCACTTTGGTAGCAGTGAACCCAGCTGCTCTGCCACAAAGTTCTCATCTCAATTCTTCAGCCCACTCTGACGACTAGCAACCTTGTAACAAGTAATTTCATGGAAAGACTCTTAGGCTAACCCATAAATCCAGAAAATGCTACTATGCCCTCATGCCTTTATCCTCTCTTCCTTTTCTGCTCAACATTACTGATAACTGGCTTTACGCAATTTCCTCCCATCTGGAGAACACATTTCAGTGACCCTCAGCATCCATAACTGGCTGCTTGATCTACAAATCAATCCCATTGCCTTGACCCTCCTACAAACAAATTCCTCACACAGTCCATTAACATGAGGATTAGCAATGCGCAGGAACTCACAGTAAATCCATGAGGACCGCCATCTTTTACATGGTAAATTCCACTGCCAGCCTGAAACAAAAAAGTGCCGCTTTCTCTGTGATAATCGTAAGAGGCAATTCCGACTGTCCCAATGCGCTTTCTCTCACGCAGTAATTCTTCTTCGCGGGAATACATCCCATAGTCCAGGGAGGCCTGAATAGGAAGAGAAGAGAAGTCATGTGGCTCGCTCTACTTTTTACGGGGTATCCTCAAAGTGCATAAGGCATCTCCGCCAGCACCAAAGAGCCAAGGACGGCTGGCTGCTTGAGTACCAGGTTAGCATCTCTGGCAAACAAAGAAAATGCGTTTATCCAATGAAAATGCCACACGTGGCAAGCAGCCTGCGTATTCTTGAGTGTCTGTCTTTGTACCAGTAACTGTGGGCCAGATTCGATCTCACCTCATTGTAAAGCCTGTTGTAATTCTGCCACCAATTCAAAAGGAGTTATTCCCAATTTACCCTGTGGAGAACAAGAGCAGAAGGTCCTGCTGATATGAGACAGAAGAAAGAGTCTGATGAATAGCGCCCTTTACGGTGGAAAGGAGGGTAGAAGCAGATAATGCCCCTTTGGGCTCTTATGCATAGTGGTCTGGGAAGTCTCCCTGCAACATGCAGTCTTTGGGGATCTTATCTTAACCATGTTTGTGATGTTCCTCGTAGAGGCAGCCATTTCCTCTGCAGGATCCACCCTTTTCCCAATGTCAGTGCATGGAGGGCAGACATAGGCCAATTCTGTCTCGGGAGTTTTACGTACGCCCTTTTGAGCCAATGAACAGGAAAAGAGAGGAGAATGTTCCTTCCTGTTGGTTGCAGCTCTGGCTCTCAAGGAAAGGACAGAAACCAAAAGTGACTAGGGCTGGCCTACACACAAGTTGCACGGATATGACTTAGAGCTTGCCTATCTGTGAAAGACGCACTTTCATAACTTGAATAGATTTTTTCAAATACAGTTAAATTGCCGTCGAAAGGTGATCTGGACACTCATTTCAGAATACAAATAGTTCATTTTGGTTTTTTAAAACCTTCTCCTAATCAGCTTAAGCTAAGCCAAAATAAGCTGCTTTTACACCAAAAGCATCCACAGGGCCTTTTCACTGAAAGGAACCTTGTGAGGTCATCAAGTCTAGTATCCTGCACTCACAGAAGGACCAAGTACCATCTAAGACCATCCCTGACAGATGTGTGTCTAACATAAGGACCACGAGCAGGTGGGGGATCAAGCATGTAGATCAATAACTCCCTTCACAGCATGGTATTCACTGTGGACTAAGGCAGTCTTGCAGCTGACACACCAGCCAGACAGTAGACTGGTAGAGGAGGGATTTGGAGACGGCAAAGGCTGTAACACCTTTAAACCAGGTGCCTTCTGACTATACAGTTGGACTCACAAGAAGTGAGGCTTCTACAATAAATCCCTTGCTCTTCCTTCAGAAAAATTACTGCCACCGGTCATGCAGCAATTGCAACCTCTGCAGGGGGAGCAGAAACCATCAGAAAAGGATTTTTTTCTGTATGATTTACTAAAGGTCACAACATTCCTAATGTTGGCAAGAGGAAAGTGTAACAGTAAAGAAGTTAGCTAAGCATGGGGGAAAGTAAAAATGTTTAAGACCTTCAGACACTCACTGCATTGGCTGTTGGTGGCTCACAACGGCAATAACTCCAGCTTGCCTGAGCAGTGAGAGTGCCTGCCAGGAAGAGAAAGAGGCATCACGATGTTCACCTACCTGAAACAGATCCAAAAGGGGTTTCCAGGAAAGCATTAGGATTGCAGCTTTGTTGATGGATTTGGGGATTTCTGAATAGAACAGTGTGTTCTCCCTGTTCTCACCAGACATGGCTGTAAAGGAAAAAAGGAGTCAGTCCCCATTATTAAAATATGACAAATGCTCTGCTGGGAGTTGATAAAGACAGAAACCAAAAGACACAACAGCAGCATGAGCAAAAGACTCCCTAAGGGGAAACCACGGAAAGTCTGCACATTGCAGCCTCACTCATAGCACGGGTGGTGGCAGGGGGAGGGGAAGTGCAGGGGAAATTTCTGATCAAAGCAAGGCCAAAAACATGCTGCTACTAAAACACTGAAATTCTCTGGAAAGTGAATACCAGGACCAGATGGACATTTCAAAATTAAGCTCCAGCAGTAAGGAGTTTTGCCACTGACTTCAGCAGCAGCAGAACTGGACCTATTTATGGATCACTTTCAACATGATAGTCACTCTTCTACCTGAAGATTTTTTACTCCTTTTGTTAAAAGAAGGCCATGTCTCCAGCAAGAAAGAACAAATTTCTCTCATTGCTTAGTGTTTAATCAGTTTCATATTCCTTGTATCAGCCACTTTCCCCCAGTTAATTGCATGGGCTTTTCACATAGCAGCATAAAGATATATACCTTTTAAACATATACAAATGTGATGGAGTGGCACGGTTGGTGTAGTTCCTGACACTCCTTTTAAAGTATAGCTATTAATGGATGACGTTTCAAGTTGACAGTGTCCATTAAACAGCCTCACAGGGATTCTATGAAGGCCAGTTAAAATGTTACCAATCCCCTTTTTATTAGTGGGGTAACTGAAGAGGGACAGATGTGTCACTTTCAATTCTGGGACCAGAGTGTGGCACTCCATGGATTTCAGTGAGGTTCCACACCTGCATTCTGAATGGTTAATCAGAGTTTAAGGGGACATCTACAAATGGAAGATAAGAGACTAGTTGATTTGGGCTCAAAAGGCTAAAAATTGCTGGTTTGGACTTTTGGGATTGGGTTGGAGCCAGGATATTTACACAACACTTGGGTCAGCTGACCCAACCTTCATAGGACGGGTGGTGGCAGGGGGAGGGAAAGTGCAGGGAAAATTTCCGATCAAAGCACCACAGCAACATGCTGCTATTAAAATACTGAAATTCTCTGGAAAGTGAATACCAGGACCAGATGGACATTTCAAAATTATTAAACCCTGATGTGCCTGAAAGTTTTGCTTACAATTTCTCTTTTTAGATGGCCAATATATAGATGTGCTCTTTTCCCTCTCCAGCAGGTTGCAAGCAAATATGTAAAAAAGGTCTCCCAATATTTGGGGGGGAGAAGGGTGTTTCAAACTAATTTTTAATAGTATAAAATCCACAACAACGAGAGACATCAGCCCAGAAAGACATCCACAGGCAGCTACTCCATCTCTCCAGCTGAAAGTATTCTTTAGGGAAAACCCTAATTCTTTGTTCAGTTCCAAGAGTTTCAAATGATGATGTTTCCACCATCCTCCCCACTTCCCTTTGAGAGATTTTTTCCCAAAAAATTTTAAGACATGAAAGGACAGAATGATCACTTAGTCTGGCCAATAATTCTAGCATCAACCCCATACTGAGTCCTCCTGGTTTCGCTACCCAATAAATCTCATTCGTTGGAAGAACTCTAAACCTCCCACCGAAGCTGTCTGGGCTTGAATCAAAATATGGGTCATGCTAGTAACTTACCTAGATAGTAGATCCTATCAGAAAAGGGTCCTTCTGAGTCATTTCTCTTCACAAACATGAAATCATGAGGAGCCTTGGCTACCATGTAGCCATGATACTTCCTAGTATCTGTGAGCAGTTTTTTAAGCTGACTCCAGGAATACCTCTCCACATAGAAGGGTTCCAGCTTTGGCTGCTCCTCTGCCTCAGCATGTTCCTCACAATCAGCCGTTCCAAAGATTTCAAGACCCAGCTGTTCAGTTTCCATGGCTGCTGCCATGTTGCATGTTTCTGAAAGAACGGGACATATGGGATACTTCAGACAGCTGCCTTTTAGTGAGCTAGCAGATATGCACTTTCAACTCCAAAGAAGAAATTGCCCAATGAAAACAATGCAAGCAAACAGCTATTCCAATACAAGTTTGGAAAAAAAAAATTCATTTTGGAAAACACTTTGTCATCATTCAGGCCCAAACTTGTGGGACTGGGATTAAGATCAACGTATATTTTTTATGAAGTTTTCTAAACTTGTTAAATAGCTGTTTACTCCCGTTTTGTGGAGGGGGTACCACAATTTCTTGGTGGTTCTTTTTAAATCTTGCAGGACTACTTTTCTCTGTCACGACCCTGCACGTTACTTACCTTCACAGTATAAGCCTACACTACAACCAACGATGACTAAGGCTGTGCAGTAGTCGGGGGGAAGTTTTCAAATACTGTACATGGAACCAAACTGTTGGCCCATGCAACTACAGGATCTTCTTAACATTGTCCTCTTTCTTGTGTTCACTTGATAAATCTTTCAAGTTAGAAGGCAGAGACCAAGTCTACTTTTGTGTAATGCAACCTGACCCTAATCAGGGCATTTATGCATTACAGTGTGGCTACTGTTAAATAATAATGATGCACATATTACAATAACAGTTGACATTGAGGTTCAACATTCCTTAGACACAAGACATTGCTATGCCGTTGTGTCATTAAGTTCCAATAGAGCAAAGTGAACCTCTAGCAACAAACCTGACGCATGTTTTGTGTTTTCCCAGAGCCCCATTTCAGAAGTTAACAAACTGGGCTAATGTTCAGTTTGCCAGGATGGAGAGCCATCAGCATGGAAACTGAACTGACTTCTTACTCCTAGAGAAGGTCATTTCAGCACAGAGGAAGGTCAGTGGGGAATTGTAAAGAAGATGGTATTGACGTTAAGGGTTTTGTACCTGTGCTAGGGAAGAGAGAGCTCCAGCGTACAGGAGCGTGAGTCCAGCAAGTTATCCAAGAACTAAAACAAAAATAAATAAAACATTTTATTTTATAAAACAAGTGCCATGTTGTTGCAAGTCCAAGTTATATCAGACACGAGTTTAAGCTCCCAGACAGTTGTGTTCAACTACAATACGCACGCACACACACACACTAGCGTGTTTCTCTCCCCCCACCCCCACCCCACCTCCCTACACACACACACACACACACCAGATACCAGCCAAAGCAGCTGGTGATAAACGGGACCCGCTGAAATACAAACAGCTGAAATTCAGGGGTTTAGGGAGGATGTGTTTGGATAAAAGTTCCAGTTTGGTCTCCTCTTTGCAAAATAATCACATTTTCCAAAGCTGATCATCTGTAGATCCCAAAGCGCATTACAAAGGAGTTTATCATCATTATCCCCATGTTCAGTAGGGGAAAACTGAGGAACAAGAAAGGGAAACAACCTGCCCAAGGTCACACAGCAAGCTACAAGCAGTGCTGGAAATAAAACCCAAGTTCGCTCAGTTTCAGTCTCATTTTCCAGCCATTAGGCCTCTCCAAATAAATCTCTGCCCTGTTTCTCCCAGCAACGCACTATGCACAAAACAGTCAATAGATATGCCTCAGCCACCACAATCAAAGCATGATTGGATGAGTGTCCAAAATTTTAGGTGGGTTAAAACAATACTATTCTCACAACCTAGCAGAACTGAGGAGGTCAGACCTCACATTTGCATCAGAAGCCTCTTGTATATTGTATAATGCCCAAAAAATATTCCTGGTTATTTCTTCTATCTGGGTAGGTTTTCAAAAATCTGCAGTATTTTCAACATACCTCAAAAAAAGCAGCAGCTTTTAACAGGCAGATAAGCATGAAAAATGCCTACCCACATAAAGAGTTGAAGACAACGGGATTTTACATAGGTGCAGAGGTCTGCCCACGCACAGCTGAATTTGAATTACAAATGTCATCAGCCCCTTTCACTCAGTTGACACTCATGGTTGCCCCCTCCTTTTACCCCTCTCCCAAATATATTTAGGGAATCAAAACACCACTTGCTTAAGCCCATTTCACGGCATCACTGCACCTTGCACGGAGGACAGAGCCAGAGTGAGAAATCAGATGCCCACATTTGTGTCTGCTCGCGAGCCGTCACAGAACATCTTATGAATAACATCCTTCCGAGTGGCTAAGCTGTGCAAGTGTCAGGCAGGTCAGGTTTGAGAGCTTGCTGAACATCTGCCCATACATCTGCCCACACAGCCAATTAGGAAGACATACTTTCTCATTACAGCTACGACTTCCAAGCTATTCAGATGCATTAGAAGTCAAGAGAGGATGCTGCAATAGGAGAGGAAGTTGGAGTATGGCCAGCTGAAAACAAACAGCTTTCAGTCTGTAAGAGTAAGGGGTCTGCAGCTTGGGTGGCAAAAGGGATCACTTCCTCTTTTGAAAAAAGAGGCAGTGTTGCTTAGAAGACAGAGCACTTTGAGACAGATGAATAAGAAGCGCTGCAGAAGAACTTGTTATTTTGCTGATTCTTAATACATACCTTCTCCACCCCCAATCTCTCAGGATATTCAGGGGAGCGTAGAGAAAAGCTAGGATAACTGTTGCAGCTTTGGGAATTGTGGCGTATGAGAGATGCAAGGTCTGAGATTCCCCACCACCACATACTTTAAATATCCCTGTTAACTGGAGTGTGAGTGAAGTTAGGAAAAAAGCCATTCAGGCCTGATTGGTCTGTCTGGAAAGTGTTGACCCAAATAGTCACATATGCAGAAGGAGGCTCTTCCCAAGCCTATGCTTTTTCCCAAAGCTGCATTTTGCTCCTGTACATTGAGACATCCTGTTTCACCTGGCAGTGATGTCTGCATAACAGCTCCCTATTCAAGTATCACCAAGCCACAATGACCCTACCGGCATGACCCATCTAGGGAAGGATCCTGCGTGCAAGTGGCACATCAGCAGAGGGCAGACGTGGCCAAATGCATCTGAGAGCGCAAAAGGAAGCATGTCCCAGTGTAGGCAAAGGTGCTTGTGGGCAGGAAGACAATTCCTGCAGATAAGTCACTTAGTGCTATGGATGAGAGTCCAGCATATAAAGCCCTTACGGCAAGAGCCCTTTAGCGCAGTGGTTCCCAAACTTTTCGGCATCATGCCCCCTTTTCGATTTTTGAAAAGCCTTCAGGCCCCTCCCCACAAAAAATAGCAGCAAAACTTGTTGAGAAGAGAAGAGAAAAAAGGAACTGACCGGGGCAGCAAAACGTGGGGGCAGGGGAAGGCTGGGTGGCCTCATGCCCCCCTCCCCGGAATGTCTTCATACACCCCAGTTTGGGAACCCATGCTTTAGTGGGAAACAGGGATGGGGGGTTATTATAAAAGACTTATAGCAGGTGGGGGAAAGCACAGGGGCTAGAGAAGCCCTGCAGTGGAGAGCAGATGGGCACATGGAGGGGGTGCAGGGGGAGCCCTGCCAGGTGGGGGGGAA